TAAAATATGAAAAAATAAAATGTTTGTTTTCGATTTATTGCAACGAATTATGTTTCTGTGCCTATTTGTCAAAACAAAGTTATAATAATCACAAAAAACTTTGGGTAGCAGTCCTGCGTAATGTTTGAAAACAAAAGTAGCACAGTGATACATGTGAAGATTTCTGAAGTTTAAGTTGCGTGTTGAGAGAAATAAAATGTTTGTTGACGCATTGTATTTTGAGCAGGTGATGATTCTCATTCCTTTTTTCATGAGCATTTGCAACGGTTGTGTTAACGAGGGATAAGTTGATGCCCAGATGATGTTACAGTAGACAAGGTGAGGAAGGCATATTGAATTGTACAATAAATTTAGAGAGCGTCTTGGTAGAAAGAATTTGATTCTGTTGATGGCGCCCAGGGATCTTGATAGTTTATCTGATACGGAATTTATGTGTTTTTTAAAGGTCAATTTGTTATCCAGAATAATTCCCAAAAAATTTGATGATTTTGTTTCTGTTATCGTTTCACCTTCAATAACGATTTTATATGGCTCTTTATAATTGAGTAACTGCACTGGGCCAAAAACCATGAATTTTGTTTTTTCTCTGTTGAGAGTCAGTCTGTTGTTTTTGAACCATTGAATAACTGATTGAACATCATTATTGATCTCATTTATCAACACATTTATTTTTTTATTACTCTTGAATAGGTTCGTGTCATCAGCATACATGACATAATTAAAGCTGTTTGAGGAGTTTGGTAGGTCATTGATATAAATGGTGAACAACAAGGGGCCAAGGATGCTGCCTTGAGGAACTCCTGAATTGATCTTTTGCAGTCTTGAATCATTTTCATTCCATCTTACGTACTGCCATCTATCACGCAAATAACTTTCTAGCAACTTTGAGGCAATCCCTCGTATTCCATAATGTGCCAACTTACTGAGAAGAATTTCATGATCAACACAGTCAAAAGCCTTGCTCAAATCCAAAAAAATACCAGCAGTGAACTTTTTTTCTTCTGATGCCTTACCAATGCTGCGAACTAGTTCAAGTATTGCCATTTCAGTTGAAAATTTTTTTCTAAATCCATATTGATTTTCGGAGATAATGTTATACTTATCCAAAAAAGATGATAATTTATTGTGAATAATTTTTTCATATATCTTTGAGAAACCGGGTAGTAGTGAGATAGGCCTAAAATTTGAGATTTCATCATTGTTTTTTGATTTTTGAATCGGTATCACTTTGGCTATTTTAAATATTTTTGGAAATATGCTTTTTTCTAATGAAGCATTTATGAGGTGTGTTAGAATTTGTATCGTTGAATGTATTGTAGCTAAAATTATTTGGGACGGAATATTATCGTATCCACAAGACAGTTTTGGTTTCAGAGATCTTGTTGCTTGATAAACCTCTGACATTGTCACGGAACTTATGAACATTGAATTTTGAATACTGTTTTTCATTGATTTTTTATATTCAAAAGTTTTAACAAAATTTACGTTAAGTTTCTCGGCGATAGAAACAAAGTGATCATTTAGAGCATTTTCTGGATCATTTACAATCTGGCCATTTCTTTTCAGATGTATATTATTACTTTTTGAGTCGTTATTTGATCTCCTCAGAACATCATTCATAATTTTCCATGATTTTTTCATATCATGTTTGT